CGGCTGAGCTGCGAGGAGGCGGCGCGGCTGCTGCTGGACGCCTAGTGAGTACGGGGCCGGGGCGGCTCTCCCCGCAGCGTCCAGGCTGAGCCGCCCTGCCCGGCGGCTCCTTCCCCCGTTAGCTCGTCGTTCTCTCGGCAGCGTCTGCCCAGCAGTAAACACGGGCTTCTGGAGAGCCGCAGAGAAGGGGGAGGGGAGGTCCCCCGCACGCACCACGGAGAAAGCGGCTTTTTCTGTAAAGGTTGGCGTGTTGTGGGGCTCTCCCCTCAAAAATGCCCTCGGGGGCATCGTGCGGGAGCTGTGAGGCTCAGCCTCTAACTCTCCACCCCTTTCCTGTGCTCTGTCTTTCCAAAGCACAGCACATCATCGCTGGGCTGTAACCAGTAATTGTCCGTGGGAGCGAAGATCTGAAAGGAAAAGGTTTTTCCTTTGCGTTTTGCCTTGAACCTAGCAGGGCAACTCTGCCTAGTTGCTCTGGAGCGTCCTAGAGGAGGGGGAGAAGCAGAAGCTTGGAGATTCCTTGATCATGAAGTTCCTCTGCAATTACAATACAAAATAAAATGCATTTCAAATATTATGTAGAATCCACTTATCTCTGCTTTTCCCAGCTTTTAAATAGAGGAGTATTAGTAGTGCTGCGGCCATTGTGGGAAAATTCAGTTCCCAGTTTTCTTGTGATAATCCCACCAGTTTCGATGTGCTGTTCCGCACAGGTAACGCTGCAGCCTGGGTCAGCGTTTTGACCTGGACTGTGGCAGGGGAGCGTGTGTTTTGTAGTGCATGTGGAGTGTACTTTCCTTGAGCTGTTGCTCTTCTTGTCTCCATTTTAATTAAACCAGAAGAGCAATTGCTGCAGAGGACAAAAGTCATTCTCTATCTCACTCAGGCACATTTCATTAAAATACATTTGAGTGGATACATTTTCTGGTGTTCTACAATTGCTCAAAGCAGATTGAATAATGTAGCATGCAGCCTTCTTGGCCAAAAAAAAAAAGAAGTATGATCACAAAACCTCTCTGTTGTTTCTCTCTCCAGTGAATACAGAGGTTTGGTCAAACACACAGGAGGCTGTCACTGCGGAGCCGTCCGCTTTGAGGTCTGGGCTTCAGCAGATCTGCATGTTTTTAATTGCAAGTGAGTTGGTTTTTGTTGTTGTTCTCTATTCTTATGGATTAATATAAGCTGATTTGCTTTTCTAATCAATATCTTAGAGCTGAAAGATGACAGCACAACTGCAGAAGGTCCTCTGAGCTGTTCCCATAGGGTATACCCGTAATTATGTCCTGATCCTGTATGAGATCAGTGCTGATGATTTCAGATGTGCTTCTTTGGACAGGACTTCAGGTCTCACATCTGTGCTCATGCAGACAGTGTCAGGAGAGTTTTCATGAGTACAGGTGCTCAGCCATCTGCTTTTTGTTTCCTTTAAGTGCACTGTGCTCAAAGCACATCAATCCTTTTTTAACTTGGCCTTCTCAAGTGAACATTGCATCTCTGACCACGTGTGCTTCAAACTACAACAGTGTCTGATTTCAGTAGCGATTCCCCTTCGCCTGCAACTGGTTTCCTTCTAGCTCACGGGTAAACTTCTGAATCTCACTTTCTTGTTTGCAAGGTAATAAATGTTGGCAAAATTGGCAGAGTCTGGTCTGAAAGATCAAATGGATTTCTCAGGGCTAGAGTTTGTCCTTGTTATGTCTGTTGAGAGTTGTATACGTGAAGAAAAAATGGCATATAATGTTTGGTGTAGGAGAATCCTTAGCGGTGTACCTGTGTAGGGTCAGTCTGTTCCATGGGTGGGCTTAGCCAAACACTACTGATACCATGAGTCCACTTTCGCCGCTTACCTCTGTGATGGAGCCGCTTTAACTGTCAGTGGAATTTCTGCTGTCAAGAGGTCCATGCTAGATCTGACTGCTGTACTACAACTCGTCCGCTGCTTCTAGAAAGGTTTGCTTTTTCTTTTACAGTTGCAGCATTTGCACAAAGAAACAGAACAGACACTTCATTGTCCCAGCATCGCGTTTTAAGCTGCTGAAGGTAGAGTAAGAATGCAGTAAGAGCATGGCCATGAACACGAGCAGTGTCATCCTCAAAGATGCGAGTGGCAGCCAGTTTTTTGTCCTAAGTTTGCCTATGGGTGGTTGGGGGAAACGGCTGAATTTTATGCAATCTGGTGTGGGTGTGTTAGTGCATCTTATTTAGCGAGCTGACGTTAGAGCTCTTGCAGTTCTCAGGCTTGACTGGGATGGACATGGGTATATGCACAGCACAGGGGTTCAGAAAAGGAGCTTGAATACAGAACTATCTCAAGTAAAGACATGAAGGTGGTATTTTAAATTTTACATTTCCTAGCCACAGGCCCATCAAAAGTAATTAATACATCTATTTATGTGGAAAACTTACATTGCTTTTCATTTGCTTAGGGTGCTGATAATTTGACAACATACACCTTCAACACACATCGTGCCCAGCACACATTCTGCAAGACCTGTGGTGTACAGAGCTTTTATACTCCTCGTTCTAATCCAGATGGTTATGGTAGGTAGAAAGAGTAAACTGTGGTTACCAAAGCTAATCACCAAGCAAACCTTGGATAAAGACTCCATTGGCTACTAACATGACAGCAGTGAGCAGCATGCATCTTAAGAGTTTGTTCCTAAAGTGCTAATCATCTGGAACTGCAGTGTGAACCTGTAGCTCCTCTGTAAGAAACAGTCTTACCGATGCCATGTGGGCTTCTGCCCATGACAGGTTTCCCATCTAGGTGCCTCAGCCTTACAGCGACAGCTGGACTGAGCATTTACCATTCTCTGAGATGCTCCCTCCACAGAGTGGTGCAGGCATCTCCCACGCTTCAGCTATGAAAAGCAGGTTTCTGTGTACTCTGTCTTTCTTCAGGAATAGCTCCCCATTGTCTGGATGATGGCACCGTGCAGACCATTGTCACAGAGGATATCAATGGCAAGGAGTGGGAGAAGGCAGTGAAGGAGCATAAGACCATCAGAGACATGTCAAAACCCTGACGTACCCTTCCAGCAGCTGAACTTGGAGCACTGCAGTGGAACTGTAGTCTGGGCTTTCCTGGGTGAGGGTTGGCAAAATTGATCTCTACATTATTGTTACCTGTTTTCCATTTCTTAAATAAATCTTTCTATGCTGCCTGACCCATTCATTTGTGACTTTCAAAGTACCTCTCTGTTCCATAAAACAGCCCAGGGCTGCTATTTGGTACTTTGCCCTTAACTGGGCTAAAGTTTAAATCACAATAAACACAGCAAAGTACAAAAAACCCCCAACTAATCTTTGCTTGTATAGAAACTTCCTGTGTTTCAAGTCTGTCTTATAAAGATAATAATATAAGATAATCTCTTGCTTAGGACACAATACTAACTTTCACTTTTTTCTCCATTGACTTCAATTAATTGACCATGGATTTAGCGTTAAAAGGGATTTAAAAGAGCTTATCAGGCTCAAGTTCAGTAAAGCATTTACACAGGTGCTTAGCTGTATGCAAGAGAGGGACCACTGAAGTTATTCATGTGATTAAATACTGTTTTGCTTAAGCCTGGACTTACTCATGGTCCTAAGGCTGAGTAGGCATATGCTTAGGCACTGACTCACAGCTGGGGAACAGAGTTCAACACTGTCATACTCTTACGTATGCCCACATCCATACAATGGACACGTACTTTGGTACAACCAGGAACTCGTTTGTTGTCTTCAGGAGGAGGATGTGCTGTCAGCAACAGATCAGGCAGTTTGGTCTCTGATCTTGTTTATGCAATGACTAGCTATGGAGATCCAGGAAATTTGCCTCCTGCCGATGGGAGCCCACATTAACGAGTGCAAAGGCCTACAGAAATTTTGACTATTGCTGACTTTGCTCCACCATGACCCCACAGAAACACAAATCACTAGTAAAATCTCTGTATAGACCAAGAAATGAAACCACTGAAAGCTGCTTCACTTACCTTTAAACATAAAGGGAGAGGATCTTTAACTCTTGTGCTTGTCATTTACATAAGCAGAGCAGCTTTTGAAACATCTCTTGCACTTTTTATCTCCGCATGTTTTCTATAAAAGACATAGTTACAGTCTGGGTCTCTTGCCCCTCATTCTTACGTCCTGTTGAGAGTCTTTTGAGTTGATCCTGAGCCCCATGTTCTGAAGCAAGAAAAAATGTTCATGTTTCATGAGGGACGCTCTGCGAAGGTGGAGCCTGCAACACAATGTCTATGAAAGAAGCAGCAGTAGCAACAGAGACCAGTGCAATTAGAGAAATTTGTATGATTTCTGATGTTTTACTCATAAGCTTTGGCTTCTTAAAGTTCTGACTAAGACAACGTCTTGTGGTTCTGGTTTTATCTGTGGCAACAGCATGATCTTTGAAAAGTCACTCCTGATACTTGGGTTTTACAAAAGCACCGAGAGATAGTTGCCATGCAGTCCTCACAGCTATATCCTCTTAGGGAAAAGTAGTTTGTGCCATATCTTCTCCAATGCAGAATAATACTGCATTTTACTCCTAATTAGGTTAATCCAAATTTCTCATTCTATTTAAGCTTCTACAGCGAGAAAACAGTAGTTGTTAAACCCTGTTCATCTCAATGTATCAGGCAACAAGATATTCAGAAGCAAGTTCATACAGCCTGTTTTTTGTAGTCTGAGACAATGCTACGCAAAGAGAATCCTGTCCTCTTCAGCACATAACAGGTGAGTTTTCTTTAGTCCTTGGCCTGACACAGTCTTTTTTTCGCTCATTCTTTTACTCCTGAAGTTGTGAGCAGCATCTCTTTTACAGAAGGCGGAGTGAATTGATCATCATGTAACGTGAGAAAAGCATATAAATGTGGCGAAACCAGAGGAGCTGGCTGCGATGACACCGCATGGCTCTCTAGAAGGAAAAATAGTTGAGAAAACATTACAAGAACCTTCCAGACCTAACGTGAGTGCAGTTTCCTAGGCCTCCTGTGAGGTTCACTGCCAATTGAACCGGACAGGCTTTTTTCAGCGAGCAGGGAAGTAGCAAGAGGCCCCTGTGGGGCTAAAGGGCAGGGAGAGGCCTGACTGCCCCTGTGTGGCTGGTGTTGTGCTGCCTAGTGTTCAGAGGGGCCCTGCTAGAAAGGGCATTATCAGCTGCAGATTGGTGCCGTGACAGTTTCTTTGTTACATATAACTCCTCCTCCCTGTGTGAATTCACGCCTGGGTGTTCAAATGCTGGGGAAGCAGAAACCTGGTAGGTGTGCACCTAAGAACACTTTGCATGCTGCTTCCAATCATACATTGCCAGCTGAAACTTAGCTTTATAGTTTTGTTTTTATATATTTAAATATAAATATGTATTTAAAGATGTATATGTATTTATAATGCACCAGCTTAGAAAGGCCAAGTTTCAGAAACACAAAATACAAGAAAATAATGCCACCTTTATCAGAGCAGTTTCCATACTTAACTATCTTTTAGCAGCCTCAAAAGCAGGAAAGTTCTGTGTGTGCCATTTGTGGATTAATGTGACTGTTTGCTGGGCAAATATTTACATCCCCTGGGAGGGGAGCTAATCAGATTCTGATATAGGGAACTGCAGACTAAATGTGTGAGATCTCCTGTTGCAAAATAGTTTAAAAAATATACAGTAGAGAAGGGAACTCATAAAGAGCTTTGGACCACAAGTTCACATTCCGTCTCCATCTTTAGTCAGAGCTATGATCCAAGGACACTGTTCCTGGTGTGCAGTCATGCCATTCTTTGACAGGCCACTCGCATGTTTAGAATATCGTGTGGGGCCCAGTCTCCTTTGAAATACATCCTCCATCCTGGACACAGTGTAAAACTCAGTGCACTGTGACTGCTGAAGATCTCTGAGCTGCAAATCTGCTCAGCCTTGTTTCTGCTATCCACACAGCACATGAAACAACCTGTCTCATCCATTCATGTCTTACAAATCACTGAAGATCATTCATTAGTGACATTTATAATCCATGTATATAATTATTTATGAAGTTGTCTGTGAATAGGACACTTCTGACTAAAGTCTTCACGATGATGATGAGCTATTCAAACAGGTTAAGCAGGTACCACGCGTCTCACCCGGGCTTGTTCAGTCTCTTCCTCTGTGAGTATGAAGAGCACATCTCTGGGCAGGAGGCAGGAAATGGGTACATCCAGCACGGAGATGTACTTCCGGAAGAGATTCACTGATTCAAGCACAAGCACATGGCACTCTAGACAGAGAAAGGGGATAAATATTTCAAAACAACAATATTCTTGTAAGGTTCTGTGACCATTTGTACTAGTTCTTGTTCTGTATGTGGTCTGTGGAAAGCAAAGCTAGCTCTGAATACCAGCGGGTTTGGGGCGGGTTTTTTGCTTGTAATTTAAATTATTCCTACATAGTTAGACTCAAAGGAAAAAGCACAGTATGACTCTCTGAATGCTGGCACTGTATCATATAATGGAAATTTAAAACTTTGGTTCAGCTACAAAAATTAAATTTCTTCTTTCCACTCCAATTTTTAACTACAGAAAAATTATTTACAAGATTCAGGAATGGCTGTATCAAATATTAACTCAGACAGGCAGTTACACTTTAACAGAGTTCCAGAATTCATTGCTCAGATGTTTGTGATGAAGAAGATGAAGGTAACATATAAAGATTCTAATGGTGTGGAATTTTTTTCTGTTTTAAAGAGCCCCTTGAACTCTGTTAATTGTTTGTTTGGTTTGTTTTTTTTTTTTTTACCATGGCTAAATTGTTTTCACTGATGAGCTCAGAGCTACTGATGGTCCCATCAAGAGCCTCTAGCTCTCAAGGGAGCTGCTTTGGGATTTCTTAGGGCTTGGAAGCTGCTGTGATTATGCTCCACATTTCAGACATTGTACTAAAGTTCTACGGAACAGGTCAAAGCCACAGTTTACATAGGTGGTCAGATACACAATTAGATCTGCAATGAGATTTTCTTTAGTGTGCCCTTAAACAGTGAAATTATACAAAGGAGACAATGAACAATGCTGAATTGTTACAAAGGCTGCCTAATGGACCATTTTAGTGTGTGAAGCCTGTGCTCACGGGTCTAATACTGCTTAAGCTGAGCACAAAGCAAACTGGTGGTGCTCAAATACCTCTTGGCTCTAAAATGCAGACAGGACTTGTGTCCTTCTAAGGGAAAAGACTCTCTAGGACAGGGGCAAAAGCAAACATCCTTCCCAAAAATGGTAACCACATGAGGTGGGTCTCTGAGAGAGGGGATGATGCCTCTGCCAGGGGCCCTCTGTGCAGATCTGCTAAGGAATCTCATCCCACAAGGATCTGAACAGTCAACCTGCTGCTAACTTCTCTACTTTGGACATTTGGTAGATCCTTCAGTCTGGCCTCTATCAAGTATGAGAAAGGAAAGCAAAACTTGCTGCTCTCATGGTGAATTAATTTCCTGGAGACACAAGGGAAGAAGCCCCCAAAAGCCTCCAAGGTGGAGCACAATACTCACACAGTACCCCACCAGCACCATTCCTTCCCCCAGCCAGGGGTCTGTGACACACTGAAGCCAGGAACAACAGCATGCACAGAATGAGCCTCCACAAATCCCCTCACAAGGGATCTGTGTCCTCTGCCTCTTCCTAGTGACACTAACTCATTTCAGTGCAAAGCCTGCAATGACAGGACATGTCAGGCCCTGACAGACTCCCTCCAGCACATCTCAAGGATCTTTCAATTTACAATTTGTTCCAACTTTTCAATAGCCTTTTTCACTCTCAAAAGCAAAACTGGTAACTATCTCAGTATTGCAGAGGGCTCCAGGATCATGCTCCCCTTCCAGTTCTCTTTCTGCACTGATCCTGGGACATGACTCCCCAGCAGGGTGGACAGAGCATTCAAAGGAGTTATTTTCCCCTGCTGTGGGCAGCAATGGGTAGGGTTAGAGGCCTCAAGGGAAGTCACCAGCACTTCCATCTAGAAAAACGCTGACACAAGCCTGTGCAGTGCCAGGAACCCGAGGAAGAGCCCTCCTGAAGCTCATGGACATTTGCTGCAGGCCCAAGCTGCCAGGAGATGGCGGTGTCCGCCAGCTGCGGAGGAAGCCAGGACCCACATCCTGCTTCTCAGCCAGCCATGCATTGCCCAGGCTGCCCAGGTTAGGATCAGGTTAGGCACCCCTCTGCCCTGAAGGCCCTCCTGCCTTGCATTAACTATGTCAGTGCTATACCATGTCCTTACTCCCGTCCTACTGCAGCCTCAGTCATCCAACCCTTGCAAGGTCATCGTGCCCGTCCCTGCAGAGCAGCAGCTGTGCAATGCGATCTGGAAGGACCGATAGCACCGCCAAGCTCCATGCAGTATCTTGGACGTGTGGGAATGCAGGCGGCTGTGTGACCAGCATGGCCCGTGCCACTTCCTGACTGCGAGCCCGAGCCCTGGTCTCACTCATGGTCCACCTTGACAAGCGACAGACCGAGCAGTCGCTCTTTAGCTGCCATAAGGTCTCAGCTTGCTATAGCAAAGGATGCTCTGCAGTGACAAGTGTTGCAGCTGCAGATGGAAGTGCCCTGACAGTTGTTTTACTCCCACTAAATACATTTCTTGTTTCCAAGTAGCAAACTTGGGAGCAAACTTGTGATGTACCATGAGTAGGGGAACCACTTTTCCCCCCCCTTCTCTGCAGAGATCCTCTGGGCTGCTCAGCAGGCCCCATCTGTTGGTGGGTAGTTTCAGAAAAAAGAAATAGTATGGTGCTGCACTATTGCACAGCAGAGGAAAGGAATAGATATGGATCCCCTTGCTCCCGTAGTCAGCATTCCCACTGGCCACCTGTTTGCCTTCCAGTGCTTACTGGGGAGGACAGGACTAGAGCAAACATGGGGCAATGGGTCTTTCCTTTCCTGGGTGGTTGTTAATGGACCCTGGCAATGTCACATGAATTCCTACTTGCAATGATGGGAAGAGAGGCCTGGTGTAGGGTTACTCACCACCAACCTCTGAAGCCTGGGCTGCTCAGTTAACAAAATGTGCTCTCCCTTGCCTTATAATTTTTTCCCTAAGACATATTCATGCAGCAATTATGCCCTTTTGTTTCCCAAAGCTCAGCAATAAGGGCTCAAAACAACTGCAAGTGATTTCAGTATTGATCAGCCTGACGTCCTGGGCCGCCATCGGTCAGATCAGGCAAAGCAATGGCATTCAAGCCTCACAGAATGAAGGGCACTGTTAGAGTCTTCTGTGTTAGTGATATGATAGGGATCTCCACATGCTGACAGCAAAGGCTGCTCCGCATGGGAATGTGAGATGAAAAGAAGCAGGGAAGGAATGTACAGTCCAGGGAGGGATGGAAAAGGGTTCAGAGAAACAGGGTGCTCCCTGCCAAGCGGGGTAAGAGAAGTGCTGCCATTGATGAGTCTACTCCTGTGACACCAGCAGGTGAAGCTTTTCAGAGCCTGTTGTGACTGTGACTTGGGCAGGATGGGATTAAGAGTGTAATACAACCTCTCTAGGTTGGCAGAAAGGGCAAGATCAATATAGCTAGTGGATTAGGCCCAGAATAGAAGTGCATGAAGCCTGCAGCCTGTTCGGCTTGGCTTTCTACTTCCAAATCACTTATGCAGCAAGTATGCCTAGAATGAGAAGATTATTAGCAGATCTATGTGTACTAAAAGCTTGCACTGCTCCTGACAGACGTTAGCACACCGATTCTTTTGGAAGAGCACTGGTTATAGCTGGATGGGGCCAGCAGTAGGGGTGGATGCATATCCAGCAGCTGTCTCGGCTTCTTGAAACAAGCCTATGTGCTTGTGCCTGGGCAGGAGAACTTGATTACAGATTATAAAAAGCCTGCTGTGTTTATGCTGGCTAAAGGCATTAGAAAGCAAAGCAGGATATTTAGGGGGCTCATTTGCATATCACTAAGGCAATGCAAGGCTTAGCTGGCTTTTGCATTTGCAGAGAGATTTTCTGTGGATTCCCTGATCACATGGGCTTACACAGGTTCACCCACAAATAGTTCCCTCTTACCAACAGGAGAGCAGCACATTTCCATGGCCTGAACATGCCTTTCAGCTCTACCCAGACAGCCTCAATCCCAGCATCACACTTGTTTCATTAAGCCCCTCTGATGCACAGCCCTGCACGCCTGCCAGATCAAATTATAAATACTGGGAATTTCAATGAGACTGGAACTATATTTGGAAAGGCTTAGCGTAAGCAGCAGCATGGGAGCTCCCCTTTCCTTTGGTGTTTGTAGGTCATGTCAGATGTGATGTAATCAGAGCAGCAAAGCTTTCACATAGCTTCAGGAGTCTCTTGATGCTGCTAGAGAAATGGAAATGTTGTCTATACATGGGTCTGTTTCAAACCTGAACCCATTTGAGGCGCAGCCCGTATTCAGGACCATAACATATCTAACAAATCTACATGAACAGCACATGAAGGTGGTTCAGTCTAGGTAAGGCCTGACATCTAGCAGTGACATCTACCACTGCAGTTCCTTGTTCTTTCTCTGTACTGCACACAGCACACACAGAGCTCTTTGCAGCATCCAAAAGCTGAACAAAGAAAAGGTCCTAGGAAAGAAGTGGGCATTAATACTCCTCTTTCATTGATGGGGGAATTGAAGAGGCTAGAGTCAGAACTCAGCTAAAGGGCATTCTGCCATCTTGGCTCATGCTGTCTCCATCAGATCTTGGTCTGCAACTTGCTGCTAGCAGGGAATTAGAACTGATTTGCTGTGACACATTCAAATCCTACAATGATTCGAGAATTAGCATTAAAGAAACACAGTCCGGATGACTGCTGAAGGAGCAGGAGGTTGACTGGGTGGGTCATTGAGCCACCTTCCTATGCTCTGTCCAAATGGCTGACAGCTCTGTGCTTAAACTAGTTCCACAAATTTATCCCCGAGTCAGGCACTGTTTGCTAGAGATAAGGGCTGCAGATCTACTCTGAGACAGCAGCTAGAAAGGGAGGTCAGGAGCAACCTGCTTCTGTACTTTGCCTCTTTCTTCTTCCTACTTTTACAGAGACTTTCTCAGAATGCTTGCTCTTTTACTGGTGAAAAAAGCTACTCTGACAATTTGTCATGCCAGTGCGGATCTCAGATACCTTTCCTATACTGACCACTTATGTGCTTAGCTTATTTGGCCAAGCTGGTAATGGTTTCTGAGGCCCTTGTCACAAAAAACAAGCAAACAACAACAACAACAACAACAACAAAAGTCTTGTAAGTAAGATGTGAACAAAACCACTGGGACTGAGATGAGGGACCTGGAAATAGCACTCATATTCACGCAAGACAGCAAGAGACATAGGACAGACACTGAATCACACCCCTGAGACAGAACAACCCCAAAGGACAGAAAAGTGACTGTAGAGAAGCCTGAGCTGGTAAAAAAAACTTCAGGGACATAAAAGGGCAAGGAAGAGTGCAGCTTAGGGTTTCATTTGCCTTGCAAATAGAGGTGAGTTAGGCAGATGAAACCCTGGACAGAACATTCATGTAAACAATTGCCTAATGCCTGCAGGGCCATGGATGTGTAATGTGACATACCTTCAGGTAACTTCCGCTCTGAATGCAGGTACCTGTGAATGAAGAGATACACAGGGGTAAACACTCAATGAAGTTATTCAAAACTGCTTTTATAGGTATAAACTCTCTATGCTAAATCAACCCTTTTCTCTTAATACACACACACATTTACAATGGCTAATTTTATAAGGAAGTGCAGGAGCTGACACTGGATGCACATGTCAGGCAGTGGTAAGCCTCATTCCCCACACAATTCTGCCATTACTTTCCTCATCCTGGCTGCTGGGACACAGCACAAATAAGCTCCATAAATACAACTCGCTCTCAAAATTCTCACGTTGCACTAAGGGAAACTGCAAGAGGCTCCCAAAGGCTATTCACCTCTGAGCGCACTGGCTCTTTAAAGCCTTGTGTCTGCTGACCGGGGACATTGCCTCAGCCGCAGCTCCTGTTTGGGGACCAGCTTCTTTCTTTCTAACCCATGCTGGCACTGGGACATCTGAGAAGCTGCTCTGACTTTTTGCTCACTAAGACTTTGATCCCTTCATGACTTTGTCCTGGGAAGTCTCTGTAGTAAAAGTGCATCCCTTAAAAACAGAACGAGGGGACCAGCGCAGGACATGTGAACGGTGATGTACTTCTATCAAGAAGTGTAAGTAAATGGTCCTGATATGGTGAAGATATCAGAGGTATTAGCTTCAATTCCTTTTTAATTCTCCTGTTTTTCCTGCTCTGGCCTGTGGTTCCTGGCTTCAGAGCACTTATGCTCACATCACCATTTGCATTGCCTCCAGATTTGGCCCACCGCAGGGATGGGAGGAAGCAGGTCTCCAGCAGATGGCACTCAGAGCTGTCCCACACCCAGGCTTGCTCTTCCATAAGAAAAAAAAAACCCAAACAATGGAACATTTGCCAAAAGGAGAAAGGAAATAAAAAAAGAAAAGTTATTTAACCCTGTGTAATATTTAAAGAGATTGTTATCATCTTATAGTGGTGTATTTAACAAAGGACAATGTGACAGTTCATGTGTAAATCAACCAGGATAAAACATACATTATATGTAAACTGTTATGTTTCTCCAGTCACCTTCAAACTAGGATTATCTCTGGCTATTGGTTAAGTTCAAGGAAAAGGATTAGCTACACAGGCGTAGACAAAATAGGAAGCACGGAGTAATGAATACCCAAAGCAATTCAAAGCAAAAGTCAAGCCAGAAATGCAGGTCATGGCAGAACTCAAACAGCAATCAGAAGACATATGCCTCAAATAGCTTCTCCTGCCAATGGTCTCCTCTTCTCTAGAGCCAAAGATCTGCAAGCAATACCATTTTCTACTGAACAATGGCCTTGTAATACTAACTTGGCCACCTTCTACCCCACTACTCAAGTCCTACTGTTCTGACAAAGACTGTTAAATGTTGCTTTGTAAACATTACCAGTGATTTTTTTGGGGGCGGTGGAGGAAGGTTTAAGTATCTCTGCTGATGTCTGCTCTGCTCTGCTCTTCTGCCAGAGGTTTCTTCCCCCACAGCTAGAATCTGGCCCCCCACAGCTAGAATCTGGCCATCCAAAGAAGTGATTCAGCACTTGGTAAAGCTAGCAGGGTGAGAACTTCTTAAAACACGCTTAGAGAGATAAAACAGTGAGTAGCTGTGAAACTGGCTAACTAGCCAAAGTCCTAGCATCTGTTCTGGGTGTGCTCTGCCATTGAGGGACCTTCAAAGCACGGACAGCAAATTGAAGGATGTGAAGAGCAGCTCCAAGAGTCAAATAATAACCATTCCTCGCCACTAGAAACAGAAGCAAGGAGAGT